TGCCTATGCCCAAGGTCGGGACTCAGAACAGCATCAGCTGCCTGTTCTGGGGACTGAGGGAAACTTCCCCGTTGTAGCTGGAAGCGGCCAATGGCAAGTCCTGTTGTGATCTTTATCCCACCAGGGAGGATCAATTCCCCTTAGAGCCACCCTGTTTGTTTACCCCTGCAGACAGCTCCAGTCTGTGAGTGCTTGCTGAGGGGATGGGCTGGTTGGAAGAGAGGGACAGGGACCTGCAGAAAGAGGGATGAGCTTGGGGCAGGCAATGACTCCCGATAGGAAGAGAGGAAGCACAAATGAACTGTAGCATGAGTAGGGTTTTCTCTCTCCCCTACTCCACATTCCTCTGTTTTCCATGGAATTCTCTCTGGTGGCTAATTAGGGTGTGACTTCATCTCTGAGCCGCTCCCCAGGGGCTCTGGTGGCTGAGACCTGAAGTGTGTACTGGTGGCTCAGCAGGGGGCAGTGCCCCAGGAGGCCAGAGAAGGGCAGGTGGCTCAGGACAGGGCTGGACTGCAGCATGTAGGGCAGCCACATGTGGATTTCGCTTTACAAAAATGTGAGCATTTTCCAACAGCTGTAATTCGGGGCTAAGAAGTGTCAGTGTCCCGTGGCAGTTGGCAGCTGCTTCTAGATTAAGACTGGCCAGTTTGAGTGTTTTCCAGAAACAGTTGCCCTGAGGCTCGGAATTAGAAGAAAATGAGGGGGGTTCCTGGAAGGGGCCTGAGCCAGGTGAGACCGTGGAGCTGAGCCAGGGGCACCCACGTGCTCCCTTTCTGCACGGCTGGCCTCTGCAGGTGTAGCTGGCATTCCCATGGTGAGTTAAAAAGGCAGAGCAAGAAAAGGAGCCATCTCTGTTTCCTTTTGTCTTCCCAGCCATTGCTTGACAGATGTCCCTTCTGAGGCGCTCAAGTCCACTCCAGGGGGCCGCGGACCCCCTTTCTCCTCGTGGGACCCTGGGGTCGCCTTCTGGGGATGCACAGGGTTGCTCTGGCTGTGTTGGCTCCAGGGAGCCCCAGAATCAACGTCACTTCTGCTCTGACAGCTGAGCGCCTCCCTTCTCCTCCAGGTGGCCAGAGGGGAGAAGGGTGAGGGGGTGCCCCATCCTGGATGCTGTCCCTCCTGAGGGGCCCCTGAAGGGGACTCAGGAGCAGGAGGAGCCACCCTGGACCGGGCCAGGTAGAAACACCTGTCGGAGAGAAGGGCGTGGATGAAGATGGCTGGTTGGGGCCCTCCCAGGAAGCAGGGCCAGAAAATAGAGCAGTGGGGCCCGGGGGCCTCCCACAGGCTAAGTTGTAGGACAGGGAAGGGACCTGTGTGGGGTGTGCTGGGTGACACCCCGGGGAGAGATGGGAGGGAGAACGTGGCTGAGTGGCAGGGCTGTTCCTCACCTTGGGCCTTCCAGTTAAGGGAGCTCACTGAGCTGCGTGTTTGTTTGGTGTGGTTTTCTGAATCTCGTTTTTGTTTTACAATAAAAACTTAGGCTGGCGCCACGGCCACTAGGCTAATCCTCCGCCTTGTGGTGCCGGCACACCGGGTTCTAGTCCCAGTCGGGGCGCCGGATTCTGTCCCGGTTGCCCCTCTTCCAGGCCAGCTCTCTGCTGTGGCCCGGGAGTGCAGTGGAGGATGGCCCAAGTGCTTGGGCCCTGCACCCCATGGGAGACCAGGAGAAGTACCTGGCTCCTGGCTTTGGATCAGCGCGGTGCGCCGGCCGCGGCGGCCATTGTGGGCTGAACCAACAGCAAAAGGAAGACCTTTCTCTCTCTCTCTCTCTCTCACTGTCCACTCTGCCTGTAAAAAAAAAATTTACCAAGTTCACTGAACATGCAAAGTCTTAATGTAAAAAAAAAAAAAACTTAAAGAAACAGGGCCAGAGAAAAATACCAGAAGCCCCGTGTCTCAGCCAGGCAGGCTGCTGGAGTGTGGATAACCCCGCGTGTCCTGCCTGGGGAGGTCTGGCAGACATCTCTGGCTGAACAGGTTTGACACAAAAGACACTTGCCTTCTGTCTTTGACCCTGGTAATTAAGAGCTGAAGCGATTTTCTTCATGGCAGATGCCATCCGGCTTCCTGCCTTAATTGCTTTGTGCTGGTGTTGATGAAAAGATGAGTGGGCCTGATAATGTGATCGTTTTCTCGTTATGCAAATATGTGTCACTCCCAGGTCTTCACCGGAGGCCCCTAGGCCCTGGGCATTGGCACACTGGACAGCAGGAGTCCCCCGTGCCTAGTGATCTCCAAGTGCAGGGTGGGGTCTCTCCCAAGCTGCCCCCCACCTCAGGGCTGGTGTTGAAGAATTCATGTTTCCAACAAGCATTAGCTGGCTGCGTGGCTGCGGAGAGACCTGGATGAACACGCTGATAAAATGCTAAAACAAGGGCAGCTCTCCACCGCCGAGTACTGAGAAGGCTACCATGGAAGACAGATGCAGGGCCAGCTGCCGCCGCAGCTCCAGGCATCAGTGCCTTACCCATATTCATTCAGGAACAGCCTACCATCCTGTGGCCGGGCCTGCGGAGGCACCGGAAGGGAGCGTTTGCCATGGGGAGCCACAGAACCTGTATTAACTAAAAACTCGGTCCCTGTCTTGGTTGTCAGAAGGACAAGGTTTGAGAGGGTGAGGGAAAGATGGTTCAGTCTGTTCCCAGATGGGGACAATGGCGGATGAGCACCTCGAGCACTGTTGCCCCGCTTAGTGAGGACAGGCTGGGGTCTGCAGTAAAGCTGCAGAGAAGTGGAGGTGGTCGGGGGGTCGCGTGGGGGGAGTAGCACATCTCCAAGGCAGCCTGATGAAGGCCAAAACCAGGTGGCCGGGTGCGAGCTCGCCGCACATCAGAGAGGGGCAGCAGGTGGAGGGTCAACCCTGTCTCCAGATAAAAGTGGGAAAGGGGGTGCCTTGGAACCCGAGGAAGCAGCTGATGGTGAGCCCAGGCAGGTGTCTGTGATGTGCAGCCAGCTAGGGCACGGATCAGCTGAGCTTGGCCAGGCTGCTCCTGCTGAGGTGGGACCCGGATCCTGTGGGCTCACACCTCTGGGCTTGGTGGGGAGTGTGGTAAGACCGAAGAAAATGCAAGTGTTGTGAATAGCCCGGGGGGATTGTCTCCTGCACAGAGGGTTCTGTAGTTGCTGGCACGTGGAGGCTGTTGAATGCATGCTGACACCTGTCTCCTCCTCCCTGCCTACTGTTCTCCTGTTTTGGGCTCCCACTGCTGCACCCTGCAGTCCCCCAGCCCCACTCTGCCACCAGGGATGCTCTCTTTCTGCCCTCTTACTTCTCCCAGTACTGGTGTCACTGAATCTCACATGAGTCTTCTATGTATTTGGGAGCTGTGAATGGTGATACTTCATCAAGGCCGTGGAAAAGTAGAATTAAAAGATGTTTATTTTTGGTGCAAAAAATTTGAAACCCATGTGTAGTATGCATTTTGCATGAACTTTGGGCAGCCTCTCTATGGGCACAGATTTCAGAATTTTGGGAGGGGTCAGTGTTGTGGTACAGCAGGTTAAGCTGCAACTTGTGGCATTAGCATCCTATGTCAAAAACCCTAGATTGAGTCCTAGCACTTCCTCTTCTGATCCAGCTTCCTGCCAACGTGCCTGGGAAGGCTGTGGAAGGTGGCCCAAGTGCTTGGAGTCCTGGCTTTGGCCTGGCTTAGCCCCTGCTGTTGCATTCACTTCAGGGAGTGAACCAGCAGATAAATGATCTTTCTCTCTCCCTCTTTCTGTCACTCTGCATTTCAAATAAATAAATCTTAAACAAAAAAAATTTTTTTACCCAAATAATCTTATTTTGCAGAAACCCTTGTATGTGACTTAGACTCCTGCTGGAGCACCAGGTTGAGAGCTAAGCCGTGTACCTCCAAGTCTTATGCTGAAGCACTAACTCCCAGTGTGACTGACTTGGAGAGGGGGCCTCAAGGGAGCCAGTTATGGTCCAGGGAGGTCAGAGGGGTGAGGCCCCGATCTGAGAGCACCCAGGAAGAAGGCCCTCCCGGGGCCTCACTGTGTTGGCACCTCATCTCCGACTTGGAGCCTGTAGAATGTCTACTGCTTGCAGCACCAGTCTCTGGTATTTATTATGGTAGCCCAAGCTATTACACGTTGCCTTCTTCTCTCCCTGTCTGTACTTTCTGTTCCAGTCCATCTGGTGGAAGCAGTCCAGTGGCTTCTGTAACTGAGGCTATGTGTGCCCACTGCTTCGTTAATAATTTTGTTCCTTTTGGAGTCTGTTGAAAGTCTCGGGGATCCAAGCACCAGAGCCAGCTGGCCATGAGATAAAGAGGAAATTTATGACCACTCAGCCAAAACAGCCAAGCTCCTGATCAAAGAAGCCTCTACCATGTCCCCCTACCCACCCCCCACCCGAACCCTTTACATGATTATGGTCACCTAGCTAAATATGTATTTTCCTAAATAAGTTTTGGCCTCCTTGCCTGTATCTAGGAGGCGGGACACCAAGGCATGAGCCTGCCACCTCCCTGGATTGCTAGGAGCCTGAATAAACTTTTCTCCCCATTCTTTTTCCCCAAACTTTGTCCTCTAAGTTATTGTATTCTAATCACTGTTCTGAAGATAAGTCACAGGGCCAGTGTTGTGGCACAGCCGGTTAAGCCAACCCACATGGGTGCCGGTTCGAGTCCCAGCTGCTCCACCTCCAGTCCAGCTCCCTGCTAATGCACTTGGGAAGGCAGCAGATGATGGCCCAAGTGCTTGGTGCCCTGTGCCCACATGGGAGAGACCCAGATGGAGTTCCAGGCTCCTGGCTTTAGCCTGGCCCAGCCCCAGCTGTTGGCAACCATTTGGAGAGTGAACCAGCGGATTCTCACTGTTGCTCTTTCTCTCCCTGTAACTCTGCTTTTCAAATACAGAAATCTGAAAAATATATGTATAAATAAGTCACGAAGACCTCTAAACACCAATCCCTGGGAAACCATGAAAATAAAGAACTCAAGCATGAATATTTAAAAACTAGGAAATCCAGAATATTTGCACACTGGGATGTCTAATTTATTTGCTATGCATCAGCATAGCAAAAAGTTTCCATAATTATATTTGTATACTCATAAGTAGTGCTGGATATCTATGAGTCATCATAATCATCAAATACACATTTTGGTGTGAACAGAAGTCAACTTCGTGGGAAGCGTCCAAGGCTGACCTCTTCTTCAGGCTTCTGAGGGTTGGAGGGAGCTTTCAAGTGTGACCAGGGAGCCGGTAGCTGCCACCAGCCTCTGGAGGGAATGTAGAGAAGACTGCCCTCAGATCAGGGTGGGGCAGGCAAGATCCAGCAGAATATATACATTGCCAACTGTTTAAAGAGTGGTGGCGGGGGTGGGGTGGGGGGCTCGGGGAGGGAGTGTGGGTGGGGGCTTCCACCCCGGTGGAAGGTGGCTCCGAGAGGGCTCCCTGCCACATCCCTGTGACTATCCAGGACCTGCGAGGCTGCTTAGAGGCCCCCACTTGGCCCCCACTGGACATCATGGAAGGAGGTTTGCTGTGAGCTGCTTTGGCAGGTCCCAGCTGGGGAAGTTGGGGACCCCAGCTCCTGGTTCAGGGACCCCCCCACTTTGTGGGTGCTCCATGTGTGCTCTGTTGGCAAACCATGGAGAGGGAGACTGGGTCCTAGCAGAAGCAGGAGAGAGACGCCTTCATTTCGCCTCTCCTGCACCTGCAGCCCATCCCACCTTAAGGAGGGGGCAGTGTGGGGTGAGGAGGCAGATGGCACAAGTTCCCTGTAGCCAGAAAGGCCGTGGGGATGTCCTTTTAATCACTGGTTGCCCCAGAAGAGTCAGCGATGCCCTTCGAAACAGGCTGAGCAAAATCAGCGGAACTGTAGCCAGGGGCCCCGGGCACGGATTGAGGAGGCTCTTCCTGGCATGTGCATGCTTGTGTGTGTAACACACACACACACACACACACACACACAACAGCTGGGCTAGGGGGTAGGGAGTGCTGGCTGTCCTCCCAGATCACACCTCCCTGGAAGCCTCCCTTGCTTTACCACAGTCCCTGGGTGGGCTGCTCTCCCCAGGAAAGACCCCCCCCTCCCCCGCACCTTAGGAACTGCACACAGTGCTTGTGCACACAATTGGGTGTCTTCTGGGGTGGGTGGCACCGTGTGCCAACACGACTGCTCGCTGCTTTGGCTCCCTGTGTTCAAAGGTTGAAAAGCCAAAAGGATCAAAAGACTGTGTGGATGGTATTGGGGGCTTAGCTGCCTTTCATTGTCCTTATTTCTGAGCTTTAAGGACGGCCGAGCACCTGCATATGCAAGGCTTACACAGCTCAGGGCTGCTCTCAGCCTTTCCCCCTCTCATTCATCACTTCCTGGCTTCCCAGAGGCTCCGGCAGCGGCTCCCGTATGGCATCAATCAGTCCCCTGTCAACATTTTCTAGGCTTTGGCTCTGCTAAACACATTACCCCAGCCGTGGTCCGCCAGATAGAGCCAGCACCAGCAGGGGGCTTCTCAGGCCATTTGATTTTAAATTGTGCCCCTCCAAATGGCTCTTTTCTTTTCTTTCCACAGCACCTACTAAGTACCTTCCTGCCTTATTTTTGTTGGAGGTAAGCTCCAGGTAGGGGGCAGGACAGGAACTGGGGGAGGAGGGGGCATGCAGTCTGGGTGGGAGGGACTCTGCCCACCCTCGGGTTTCCTTAGGTGGTTTTTTGAAATTAACCAACAATTGGCGGAGTAACTGGGGAAGGGTGTACACATTGATTAACTTATAATATTGTGAGGAGTCAGATGGGTTAATAGGCAGTCAGGGTGGTCCTGGTAGAAATTTAGGGTGCAAAATGCTTTCTTCCCCCGAAAGTTACCTTTAGCAAGAGTAATAGTGCCTGCCCCATTGCTTAGGAGCTTCCAACTTTATCATGAGAATAGCCAGAGTGGTGACTCTACCCTTCTGAACACCCAGTTTACTGTAAATCAAATCAGGTATCCCACCCGTGTGATGGCTCTTTTGTGAGCAAGCCAGACAAGGTGAAAGATTGTAAATCAGGTCTTTAGATGGGTTTGTCCCAGGCTTGTAACTGAATTGTCAGCTCCCAAGTTGTGCTTAAATACCCCACCACCACCAGCCCCTTGGGGCTGGGCCTCTCTTGGCGCCCCCTCCAGGCCACTCTCTGGAGTTCTCTGACTCTAATAATTGCTTTTAAATACACCTTGCTTTTGTCTTTGCCTTGTCTGCTTGGAAATCCTTTTTCCATGTGAGATAAAGAATCGAGGTAATCATATCTTCTCCACCGCTGTTTCGCTGTAACAGGATCGCCCACATCACAGGAACAAAAGGATATGCCGAGATTTCAGGGCTCACAGCCCTTTATGCATAGAGGAAAGGAAGGTGGATATAGGTCCCTTACGGGAGACTAAGTGCTTTCAGGGAATGAGTGGACTCTTAGAAGGACGCATGGGAGATAAGATGTCCATCTGCTTCTCCATCTTCCCTGGCTGGCGGGCCTCCCAGGAAGGGCTCTGCTTCAGCACGTGAGAAAGATTCAGAGAAAGCCCTCATGCATTTGCTGTTTTCCAAGTGCCTTCAGACTGCAGTCATCAGTTTACCAAATTACCATGTTTTGATTCCCTTCAGTCTAAGTTTTTATGATGTTGTTCACCATGCCCTCTTTGCATTTTCTTTTTAAAAAAGATTTATTTATTTGAAAGGCAGAGTTACAGGGAGGCAGAGGCACAGAGAGAGGGGGGTCTTTATCTACTGGTTGACTCCCCAGATGGCTACAGTGGTCCAAGCTGTGCCAATCCGAAGCCAGGAGCCAGGAGCTTCTTCCGGATCTCCCATGTGGGTGCAGGGGCCCAGGCACTTGGGCCATCTTCTACTGCTTTCCCAGGCCATAGCAGAGAGCTGGATCGGAAGTGGAGCAGCCAAGACTCCAACCGGTGCCCATATGGAATGCTGGCACTGCAGGTGGTGGCTTTACCCACTAAGCCAAGGCACTGGCCCCATTAATTTTCAATTTTTAAAGAAACCTTGCATTGCAACATTATCTTGATGACTGAACTTTTCTTCGTGGCCTCACCCTGCCACTGCCTTTGCTCACAATGCAATGTCCAGGCCTGCCCTAGTATTAACTTGCTGGTTTTCCAAATATAACCAGCCCCAGTTTCCTCCAGGAACCCTCCGTGTGGAGCTCATTTCTGGGCCCATGTGGTGTGCCTTCACTCATGCCAAGTGTAAAAAGTTTGCTTGGCATGGGAGAAGCCATGTACCAGGAGTGTATATAGAAAAACGTATTTACCAAGTTCTACGTGTAAAATATATTTACCAAGTGTAATGGAGTAAAGAGCACATTTGTTAAAGCGTGAAGAACGTATATGTTAAGACTGTTGCAGAACTGTTGAGGTAGCTACGTAGACATTAGCCCGTGTGTTTGAGAGGGTGAAGCAAACGGGAATTTCTGCAGTGGAATGAGGAAAAAAAAAAAATTAGAAGCAAGCCAGAACAGCAATTACATATGTAAAGTATTGCTTTTGTTTGATAACCTCGTAGGGTCCTAGCCCTCTCCTGGGAGCAGCTTAGAGGAATCTGTCCAGCCCTGCACTAAGGGTCCCTTAGGAAGTCCAGGGAAGAATTCTAGGAAGTCCACTCCCAGGAAGCCCCGCACCCAGCAATAGCTCCGGCTGGGAGGGGAGAGGGGAACCGGAGGGCCCATATCCGTATCCATGGTCACTGCTGTCTGAAGAAGCCTGGGCTGTCAGTTTTTTCCTGAGATGGTCACATGGCCTGGCAGGTGTACTCTTTGTCATTATGTTACCAAGCAATGGAGGCGAGCTCAGTTCTGGTCTTAGAGGAGTCAGATGGGTTAACAGATAAGTCATGGATTCCTCATGGAATTTGGGGTGTAAACTATTTGCTTCCTTTCCCAAAATGTTATTTTTAGCAAGAACAAACAGGCTGCCCTCCTTCCTTGGAATCTCCAAATTTACAAATTTACCATGAAAATAGCAAGGACAAGCCAGACAGGTCTTTTGTTGCCACCTCCTTGTAGGCTGACAGTTTGGTCCCCAAGATTGTACTTAAAAACGTTATTACCACGGGCCCTGTGGTTTTCACCTCTTGGAAGCCCCCCTCCATGCCGCTCTGGCTGGAGGTCTTTGATTCTAATAAATACTTTTAAATCTCTTTGCCGTCTCCTTGGAAATTCTTCTTCCATGTTAGACAAAGAACCGAGGTAACAATAATTTTTCAGCCGTCGTCTTCCCTTAACGGTCTCAGGTGAGGGAATTTCCCTGTGGACAGGGACTGTAAGCAAAGCAGGATTTACTTAAGTGAGAAGCCTCCAGCGATTGCAGCCAGCACCAGGTCTCCAGGACAGGAATGCAGGAGACATTTGCCAGGGCGGGGTCTTTAATGCACGGTTTGTGGGAGGAGCAGAATGCCAGCTAACAATGGGGGGGGGGCGGGGAACCCACCTGCAGACCGGAATTGTAACCCTATGGAGCCTGCTCATTCTAAGACAAAAAACCCATCAGAAGGGTGAGGAAGGGTGAGGCTGGTTTTTCCGCTATGCTCAGAATAAAACCAGAAACTCATCAGAGGGCTGGGGTGGGCAGTTTCTTGTTGCTAAAGGCAGCTTCTGGGGAGAAGGAAGCATTTAGTTCGTTCTCTGCCCCTTTTTTCATTCCTACGGGGACCTGAGCGAGCTACCTGTTAGCTAGCACGGGGCGGCGTAGTGACTCAGCGGGTTAATCCGCCGCCTGTGACGCGGCAATCCCATGTGGTCTCTGGTTAAGTGAAGCGGCAGAGGTCTGTCTCTCCCTCTAACTCTGCCCCCACCCCCCCAAAAGTAGCAGGCTTTCTGTCTCACATCTGGTCTGAAGACAATAACCTCTGATCAGCCCTCTTAAGTTGGAGGTGTTGCTCCCACTTCCAGCTTAGCAGACCTAAATTAACGACCATCTGCTTATCCCACATAACTACCAGTTACATGTAACCCCTCAACACCAACGGGAGCCCACCTGGCCATCACAAAGTCCCGAAAAAGCCCGCCAAGATACCGGTGTCGGGGACAACACGCCAGGAACAACAGAGCCTGGGGTCCCCATGAGCAAGCTAGCTCCAAGTCTAACCACGCCTCCGGGTAGCGGCACGGTCTCCAAGGCAGGTTCAAGCGCGCCGGGCAGCGGGCGCAGAGGTACCTGCTGCCGTCTGGGGCGGAACTGGAGGGGAAACGCGCACGGTGAGGGAAGCCCCAGAGTCCGTGCGCCGGGCGGGGCGCACGGAGATGGGCAGCAGAAAGGGCGTGCGAGCGCCGGGGCGGGGCGCGGGGGCGTGGGCGCGGGGTTGCCGGGGTTTCCTGGCTGCCCAGGTTTCCCCGGGCCCTGCACTCTGCCAGTGCAGACGCCGCCTCCGTAGCCAGAGGTGGGAAGGGGCTTGGGGAGTGGGTCGTGAGCGGTCCCGGCGCGTTGCGGCGCGGGGAGAGGGCGGCCGCCCGCGCAGCGCCATGGTGGACCTGCTGGGCGGGCGGCGCCTGCTGACCCGCGAGGGCGCGGCGGTGGAGGCGGAGGCGGCGCTGCAGAACAAGGTGGTGGCGCTGTACTTCGCGGCCGGCCGCTGCGCGCCGAGCCGCGACTTCACGCCGCTGCTCTGCGACTTCTACACGGCGCTGGTGGGCGCGGCGCCGCGGCCTGCGCCCTTCGAGGTGGTCTTCGTGTCGGCCGACGGCAGCGCCGAGGAAATGTTGGACTTCATGCGCGAGCTGCACGGCGCCTGGCTGGCGCTGCCCTTCCACGACCCCTACCGGCAGTAAGTGGGGCCCTTGGTGGTGGTGGTGGGTGGGTGCGCTGGGGCTCCTTGGCCTCCCCCTGCACCCGTGCCGCGCCCTCCTGTCCAGGTCCCGGCCCAGGGGACTGACATCGGGTCTCTGTGAGCTTCCCTTCGGGACCAGGTTGGCCAGGGAGCACCCTCGGGGATCTGCGCGCTCTCCTCTGGGTCGGTGGTCAGTGGTCAGGGGAGGCCTCTGGGACTGGAGGAACTCAGGTGCCGGCCACCTTTGCGGCTTCGTGTTTACCGACCGGGATGGAATTTCATAACCGTGAAGGTACAAGCGTCGTCATTGCGGAGTTCATTACTGCAGCGGTGGGCAGAGCTGGGCAGAGGGAGGCGTCCAGGTGGCGACACCGCGTTCCAACCCTCGCTCCGTGCTGGATTTTCGAGTTTGTGGGTGAAGCTGAGCTTAGGTCTTCCCTCGCTGCGGGACAAGGCTCCGGAAGGGGTGCAGGGGGGATTGGCAGAGGGGAGTATGGATGGGTACGTGTGCGCGCGGGGTGGGGTGTCTGCTGGGGTGCGGGAGTCCAGACTTAGGTTTAAATCACGGGTCACAGGGGGCGGTTAAGACACCCACAGCTCTGCATCGCCTACCACAGTGCCTGGTTTCAGTCCCAGCTCTTCGCAGTTGCCGTTCAGCTAACTGGTAATGCACAGTCTGGGAGGCGGCCGGTCATACTTCAAGTGTTTGGGTTCCTGCCACCCACACGGGAGATCTGGATGCAGTACCCCAGCCTTGGTTGTTGGGGGTACTTGGCCAGTGAGCCAGCAGATGGAAGCTCTCTGTCCTTCCCTGCTTTTCAAAATCAAAATGAAACAAATCACAGGTCCTAAAGCTCCTCGTCTGAGCTCTACTCTTTGTAGGTGGCCGAGTGAGTTCCCAAGGTTCACTTGACAGAGGCTAACTCGCGTTTTTCAGCTGGGGAATTAACCCCCAAATTGATAGTCACAAGGAGATCTGCCTCTGGGAAAAGAGTGGAAGCTACTTCGGGCAGTTTCTAAGAGTCTGAGCTGTCTCAAAGGCAGGCATTTTGATGGCTGGAGTGTGTGTGTGTGCGTGCCTGGGTGGGAGGCTGTGTGTGTGTGCGCGCCTGGGTGGGAGCTGCCCAGCCTTGGAGGTGGGTGAGGGCCTACTCACCCCAGCGTGAGCAGAGTCTTCAGGATGTGTGTGTGTGTGTGTGCATGCCTGGGTGTGAGGCTGTGTGTGTGTGTGTGTATGCGCGCCTGGGTGGGAGGCTGTGTGTGTGTGTGTGCCTGGGTGGGAGCTGCCCAGCCTTGGAGGTGGGTGAGGGCCTACTCACCCCAGCGTGAGCAGAGTCTTCAGGATGTGTGTGTGTGCGTGCGTGTGTGTGTGTGCCTGGGTGGGAGCTGCCCAGCCTTGGGGGTGGGTGAGGGCCTACTCACCCCAGCGTGAGCAGAGTCTTCAGGATGTGGATGACAGATTTTGGAAAAGGGTTCGTTACAGAATCACTGAACGTGGTGTGCTTGATTTGTTTTAGATGTTTATTTATTTGAAAGGCAGAGAGGGAGGGAGAAAGAGCGAGTGATAACTTCCATCTATTGCTTCACTCACCAAATACCTGTAACCTCTGGGTAGCCAGAGCCAGGCTGAAGCCAGGAGCCTGGAACTCTGTCTGAGTCTCCCACGTGGGTGGCAGGGGCCCACGTACTTGAGTCATCACCTGCTGCCTTCCAGGAGCCTTAGCAGGAAGCCGGGTCCGAAGCAGAGGCGAGACCGGATCCCAGGTGCTCTGAGATGGAATCTGGGCACCCAAGCAGTGACGTAGCCCACTGCACCGCAGCACTCACCCCAAGCCGTGTGTTTTAAAATACAATGACTTGTTTGGCACTGAGCTTATTCACAGTTTTTGAAATACCATGCTTGTTTTGGAGGTGAGATGGTGGGGGCGCTAGTAATTATGCAGGAGCTCAGGCCCCCCGGGGAGCCCGGCTCTGGGCTTTCCCATGGGGCAACGGTGGCAGGTTGCTTTATCGCTGGGCGTGATGATGCATCACCTGGTGGCTTGCAACCATGTGTGCAGGTTATGGACCCGCTGTCTGGTTTATTGCCCCATTTCACAGCTATGCCCACTGAGGCAGGCCCTCTAGTTCCCCTGATTCTGGGCTGCCTGCTTGCCCTGGTCTACTTCCTTTCCCAGGAGGTCATGAGCCTCTACCCCCATGGCATGGGGACTAACTGGGGCCCATCATTGCTGTCTCCTGTCTCCCCGCTGACGTGGTGGGAGCCTGAGTGCCCCCGCGGGAGGCAGACAGGTGCATATGGAGTGAAGGCATCTGCGCCCCATGCTTCTTGCCTGGCCCCCTTGGTGGTCATCCTTGGAGAGATGTTTCTGTTTGTGAGCTGAGCAGTTGTTCTCCACCCCTCTCCAGACTGAACGTCACTGACTGTGTTACTGCCTCATGTGAGTGTGGCATATTCTGAAAGTTGCCGGATCTGTGTCCTGGGTTCTGCTTGTCCCAGCCTAGGTGTATGGAATCAGATCATGAGTAGAATGGAGATAACCACCACTAAGAGTTAAACACAAAGCCGCCTGCAGGCATCTATGTGGAGAACACAGTACTTTGTGAATGATGCTGTGTGTGGCGGGGAGGGAGGGGAGGAGGGGGCACTAAGATACTGACCTCATGGAAGCTCCACTTGGTAGGTGCCCAGGGAGGGGAGCCCTCAGAGCCCCGAGCGCATCACCTGCTGTCCACTGGGTTCCTGGAGAAGCACTTGAGTCAAGGCAGCAGGTGCAGTCCTCTTGGGGTTGGTTACCCCTGGGGTGGCTGCAGTCAGGTGATGGTGCAGGTGCACCTGCAGGGAGAGGACACCGAAAGCCCTGACCTTGTCGTTAAACTTGTGCAGACCTTGCCTTTCCAGTGCACCCCACGCAGGGCACACGGGGGCACCTGCTTTCTGGCTAGAGATGCAAGCTCCTGGCCGGGCTGTCCGTTGCCCAGCCAGGTGCCCGAGGGCCTTCCTTGGCCTTAGCTGGGGACAGACACCACTGTCCCAAGAGGATTTTCTCAGGATGCACTTTTATCCTGCCCTGTCTCTCTTGGTTTTGTTAGTTGTGTTTTGTGTAAAGCTCATCATCTGTGCAAGAATTGAAGAAACAAGATCTACATCCAGCGGCAGGACTTCCGGGCACAGGCTGCTGCCCAGGAGAGACACGCTCTGTGACGATGTCTTCTGATTGCCTCCCAGCAGTGCTCACCCCTCCCCCATCCTCTGGAAAGTCAGCAGACCCCTGGGAGGCCTGGGAGGTCCTGCTTCTTCTCTCTCCTGTTGGGCTGCCCCAACTCCACTGACCCAGAGGAGGGCACTCAAATCCAGGCTGACACCTGGGTTTGATGGAAAAGCGAACTGGCCAGGCTTCCTTCTTGGTGGACAGTGGCTCAGGGAGGCTGTTGACACTGGGGGTGGGGATCCAGTGCTGGTGCCCACGATTCTCGAGCATCTCCACCCTTGCCTCCCTCCAGCCTGAGTTCTTGTGGCCTCCCTGGGCCTCCAGACCCAACACTTCCATCAAACCCCCGGAGTCGGTGACTCCTGCATCCTTCTGTCTTTCTGCTCATTGGAGCATTTTTTAAAAATTTCTATTTATTTATTTTTAGAGATTTATTTTATCTATTTGAAAGAGAGAGAGAGAAAAGAGGTGTTTTCCATTGCTGGTTCACTCCCCAAATGGGTGCAGTGGTCAGACTGAACCGATCCAAAGCCAGGAGCCAGGAGCTTCTTCTGGATCTCCACACGGGTGCAGGGGCCCAAGGACTTGGGCTAGCCTCCACTGCTTCCCTAGGCCATAACAGAGAGCTGGACTGGAAGAGGAACAGTCAGGACATGAACCGGCTGTATGGGATGCCGGCACTGCAGGCGGAGGATTAACCTGCTGCGCCACAGCGCCGGCCCCTACTGGAGCATTGAACTGTGAGAACATCCTCCTAATTGGTCCCCCAGCCTTGCTGTCCTCATCGGTTTGACTCTTGGTTGAGTCCCAGATCTGGTGTGGCCACTCCTCATTCCAGTTTTCCAGGGATCTCCTGCTTTCTCTAGCCCTTAGGACAGGGTCAGCTGTGGTCCCAGGGCGTGGCACCCACAGGGCATGTGTTTGATGGGTGACTGGAGCAAGTGAGCAGAAGAGTGAACTTCAGAGAGATTTGCCTGGCAACAGCCAGCACTGGCTGAGATGGAGACTGGAGTCAGAAGTTGCCATGGTAACCCAGAAACGCTGCTCCGCCAGGGCCAAGGATGCTGCTGTGCCAGGCGTTGGGAGGGGCCGGCATCGCGTCAGCACCGAGGACAAGGGGAAACTGGGCCCTTGGGTTTTGGTGAGAATGCCCTGGGTCACCAGGCCGACAACACTGCCTCCTCCAAAGCTCGTTCTGTTCTCTGTGGACCCAGCTCAGTGCCTCCTCCGAGAGAGGGCACCCAGGTGATTTCAGAGGAGGACCATGGCTGTTTGCCTCTCCCACTGTTTTTTTAAATTTTATTTATTTTAAAGATTTTTTTTTTATTTGAGAGGCAGAATTACAGGTAGAGAGAGAGAGAGAGAGAGAGCGAGAGCGAGAGAGTGCGCGCTTCCTATCCGCTGGTTCACTTCCCAAATGAGTGCAATGGTCAGGAGCCTGGAACACCATCTGGGTCTCCCATGCAGGTGACCCAAGTAGTTCAGCTACCGCCTGCTGCCTCCCAGGTGAGCACAGCAGGAAGCAGGATTGGAAGTAGAACACAAACCAGGCACTCTGCTATGGGGTGCAGGCGTCCCACGTGGTGACTTAACCTCAGCCGAATACCTGTCCCTAAACTTACCTTTTAATTCAGTTTTCCTGCATAGTTCTTTTTGAAATTCTTTTTGTTACTCCTTGGTTCAGATGAGGAATCGGGCTACAGGGAAGTCCCAGCAGTCACACGGCTAAGTAGCCAGAAGCTGGAGGAGCTGTGGTTTCCACAATCAGGCCATGGCTGCTGGACTGCACACCCCAGGCCTGTGCCGTCAGGGGCGCCGGCCTCAGCAGACAGCATGGGACGTCCTGGGAGCCTCCAGCAGGGCTGCAGATCTGAGTGAAAAGGACCTACTGGAGGCTTTTAAAATCCCGAGCTGGGGCTGCTCCTGGGGTTGGAACCCAGTGAGTTCCCAGGTGATGCATATACTGTTGTCTGGGGACTCTGCATTGACAGGTGCCAGGGGGTGCCCTTTGCAGGTGTCAGGAGTGCAGGTGCTGGGCTGGCCTGGTGGGCTGCGGCTCGGTGGGGGGTCTGCTTCTGTTTCTGACATGCAGCTGGTGCTGGCCTGCCCCGTGCTCAAGTCACTGATTTGCCAGAGCTGCCAGAGAGCTAAGCTGAGGCCCACTGTCTGCAGAATGCTCTTTGGGTTGTTGCTTCTCGGTGAGGGTCATCCTCCTTACAAGTCATCTCAAGATGTAAACACCCTGGGAATAGTTGTGCTGTGTTGTTTTGGGAATAATGACGAGAACAAAGTGTGCACCTGCTTAGTCTGACACAGGTGTCCCCTGGAGTGTGTGTAATCCGAGGTTGGGTGAAACTGCAGGTGCAGAGCTAAGAAAGGCCGACTCTGTATTCCTGTTGTTTTATGTATTTTATAATCTGCCTGGCTCTTTCACATGTAACATGGGGTCATTCAGTTTCTTAAGCCCATTCTGTAAAACAGCCTCCAATTCCATTCTATTATGGTCTGAGGAAGTGGCCTAGTGACCGTTTGAGACTGTGACCTTGAAGGCTCCCGGGGCATGGCCGGTTAGACTGTTTGTAGGTGTTTGCACTGTGCTTTTTCTCTCTGTCCAGAGAGGAGCCTCTGCCCTCCTGCTTGAGGGAATGTTTGGCTTTGACCCGGTGCAGGAGGGCAGCAGGGAGACCTCGTGGAGGTGTCTCAGGGAGTCGTGGCCATCGCAGGGTGTCAGGGGCATTTTTCCTCCTCCTCAGGTTCAGTCTTGAGGGTGACAGCTGAAGGCAATGAGATTACTGTCCTGGGAGCCCCTTGCTGGTTAGCAGCCCAGGGATTTTCCCCTGCCGCCCGGTCTCAGAGATAATCCCGGTGAAGGTTGTGGGGAGGAGGGCGGAGCTGAGGGAGCAGGTGCACCCTGCCCTGAGTGAGTAAAAACAGCGTCACACAAGGGCTGCTCTTGGGGCTGCGGGGGGATGGGGCGGGGCAGCGCATTGTTGGAGGGAATCTAAGGCTTTGGATTTGTTCAGAACTCACAAAGCTTTCACTGTGGCCGTCACATGTGTTTGCTCTTTTCCAAGCCCTTAAGATGCAGATGGGGATCTAAAAAAATACTGGGTTTAATCTGTGGCTTCAGATCTGCGCTGGCCAACATGGTACCAGCATCCCCACGTGGCCACTTCAATTACCAGTTAATTAAAATGGGAGCTTCCAGCTCCTCAGGCACACTCGGCACATTTGGAGCCCTCCACGGCCGTGTGTGGCTGGTGGTTACAGTGTGGGGAGCACAGGTACACAGCAGTTCTAGGAATGACCTAGACAGAAATGAACTTGTCAAGGCTTTCATTCACACGGCTGCAGACAGTTGTCTGGGACAGGGCTCGCTCAGAAACCATAGTAACCAGGAAAAAAGGAGCCCACCGGTTGGCAGGGAGCTGGAGCTCCCCAGTGGCAGGGAGCGCTCACAGCACGTGGGTTGAAGACTCATGGTGCTGGTCTTCTAAGTGGCTGAGACATCAGCTGCTGCCAGAGCTCCCTTGCCTTCTGGTGCCTGCATGTATGTGTACTAGTGTGTGTGCATGTGTGTCCACTCCACATACATGTGGGTGTGTGCGCGTGCATGTGTGTCCATGCACAAGTGTTAACTCTCTGGCACCCTCTTCTCTCCTGCAGCGAGCTGAAGAAGAGGTACAACATCACGGCCACCCCCAAGCTTGTGATCGTGAAACAGAGCGGGGAGGTCATCACCAGCAGGGGGCGCAAGCAGATCCGAGAACGGGGCCTGGCCTGCTTCCAGAGCTGGGTGGAGGCCGCCGCCGACGTCTTCCAGAACTTCTCTGGTTGAATCAGAAGACTCTTGGAGCCGGGGGGAGGGGCCGTGCCTGTAGCCCCGACGCCCGGGGGCCGACAGGAGTGGGCTGTTGCCCTTTCTCTCTCGACTTGCTGTCTGAAATTCAGGGCAGAAGCCTTGGAAGACTGTAGGTACAGCTCAGGAACAGTCAGCACCCCTCTCCCACCCTCTATTTTGATCCCCTCAGTTGTTTAGCCACTTACTAGTGTTCGCATAGCTTTATCCACCTGTGCCTAGCAGGAGTGGGGAACCTCGGGCCTGCAGGCCGTCTGCGCCCCTGAACATCATTCGCTGTCGCCCTGGCAAGGCAGCTGCAGGCAAGACTCAGAAATTCAATCAGTCTGTAGCAGGCTCGTTTTCAAACAGATCATTTTGTATGGCCTGCGAATTCTGTTGTAAATACCCAGAGGGCCATTGGCAGAGAAAAGGCTTCCCACTCTCCCACCCCCTAGACCCTTATACGTTCACATCAAGCTATCAGAAATCTATGCAAAACATCTGTTGTACAGCTCTCTTCAGGGAAAATGTCCTATTTATTGATACTTTTCTGGAGGACTATCGATTTTAATGAGATGCTTTCCTAACGGTATTGATTAATACAGGTTGCAGACTCTGTGCTTTAATAAACAAACATCTCCACCATGCACCTCTGCCTGCCTTCTTATTCCAGACCAAACCCCAACAGGGCGGAGTGAGCTGCTCAGTAAATACCAAGCTTAGGCTCTTTGCCCAAGGTGCTAGTTTTTTGTTTTAAAATTATTTGATTTATTTATAAGTCAGAATTACAGAGAGAGAAAGAGAGAGACTGGGCAGGCTGAAGCCAGGAGCCAGGAGCTTCTTCCAGTCTCCCACATGGGTGCAGGGGCCCAAGCACTTGGGCCATCTTCCACTGCTTTCCCAGATGCATTAGCAGGGAGCTGGACTGGAAGTGGAGTAGCTGGGACTCGAGCCGGCTCCCATGCAGGATTCTGGTGCTGTAGACAGCGGCTTAACCCACTGAGCCACAGTGTTGACCCCAAGATGGTAGTTTTTAATTATATGTTCTCTTAGGCACTTTTTTTCCTTCTCGTTGTTTTCTTTTCCCCTTTTTTGAAAAAAGATTGATTTGAAAGGCAGAGTGACAGAAAGAAGGAGAAGCATAGATAGATCTTCCATCTACTGGCTCACTCCCCAAATGGTTACAGCAGCCAGTGCTGGAGGCCAGCGCTGTGGCGTAGTAGGTTAAATCTACACCTGTGGCACCAGCATACCATGGGTGTGCCGGTTCATGTCCTGGCTGCTCCACTTCTGATCCAGCTCCTTGTTATTGGCCTGGGAAAACATCGGAAGGTGGCCCAAGTGCTGCCACCCATGTGGGAGACCCGGAGGAAGCTCCTGGCTTTGGATAGGCCCAGCTCTGGCTATGGTGGCCATCTGGGGAGTGAACCAGTGGACGGAAGACCTCCCTCTCTTTCTCTCCCTCTCTCTGTAACTCTGCCTCTCAAATAAATAAATCTTAAAAAAACAAAGGCAAAAACATCCTGATCTCCCACATGAATGGCAGGGGCCCAAGTCCTTGGGCCAACTTTTTTTTTTTTTTTTTTTTTTTTTTTTTTTTTTTGACAGGCAGAGTGGACAGTGAGAGAGAGAGAGACAGAGAGAAAGGTCTTCCTTTTTGCCGTTGGTTCACCCTCCAATGGCCGCCGTGGCCGGCACGCTGCGGCCGGCGCACCGCGCTGATCCGATGGCAGGAGCCAGGTGCTTCTCCTGGTCTCCCATGGGGTGCAGGGCCCAAGCACTTAGGCCATCCTCCACTGCACTCCCTGGCCACAGCAGAGAGCTGGCCTGGAAGAGGGGGAACCAGGACAGAATCCGGCGCCCCAACCGGGACTAGAATCCGGTGTGCTGGGGTCGCAAGGCAGAGGATTAGCCTAGTGAGCCACGGCGCCGGCCAGCCAACTTTTGCTGCTTAGTGGTAGCTGGATGGGCAGAAGGGTAGCTGGGACTTAAACTGGCATTCCGCTATGGGATGCCAGCATTGCAAGCGGTGGCATAACCGCTGATGTGACACTGACCCCTCACACTTACTGTCACATTCTAGAGAGAAATTAAATTTTTAAGGCTGTTGTTTATGTCTTCTAGATCGGATCTCAAGTGGTCCCATTTGTCTGCCTTTTCTTTCGTTATCTGCGCTTTTGGCTTTATATCCATTAAATCATGGTCAAGGCCAAAGTCAGGAAGGTTTTCCTTTATGCTTTCTTCTCTGAGTTTTAGAGTTTCTGGTCCTGTATTTAATGATTTAACCCATTCCAAGTTCAGTTTTGTGTATAGTATAAGTATTTTTTTGCATGTGGATATCCAGTTTTCCATTTTGTGCTTTTAGCGACTTCGTGGGGGGATGTGTGGACCGCGTATGTGTGAACCTGTTCCTGGGCTCCCCATGCTGTTTCATTTGCCCATGTATCTCTTTTTCTGCCAGCATCATGCTGTTTTAGTTCCTCTGGCTTTGTAATACATTTTGAAATTAGTAAGGGAGATTCTTCCAGCTTTACTCCTCTCTCTTACGACTGTTTTGGCTATTGGAGCCCTCTGCGGTTCCATATGAATCTTTTTATAATTGGTTTTTCTATTTCTGTAGAAAGTAGGAAATTTCTTGATAGGAATTGAATTGGTAGATCACTTGGATAGTATGTACATCTCACCGGTATTAAGTCCTCCAATCCATGAACCTGGCATGTCTTCCATTTGTGTGTATGTGTCTTCTCTAACTTCTTTTTTTCCTTTTTTTTCAAGATTTATTTATTTATTTGAAAGAGTTACACAGATAGGAGAGACAGAGAGAAAGAGAGAGAGGGAAATGTCTTCTATCCTATGGTCACTCCCCAGTTGGCTGCAGTGGCCGGAACTGAGCTGATCCAAAGCCAGGAGCCAGGAGCTTCCTCCAGGTCTCCCACATGGGCACAGGGGCCCAAGGACTTGGGGCCATCTTTTACTGCTTTCCCAGGCCACAGCAGAGAGCTGGATTGGAAGTGGAGCAGCCAGGTCTCGAACTGGCTCACATATGGCATGTTGGCGCTTCAGGCCAGGGTATTAACCCACTGTGCCACGGCACCAGCCCCCTCCTCTAACTTCTTTCAGCAGTATTTTGTAGATGTTAGTGTGCAAGTCTTCCACTTCATTTAGGTTTATTCCTAAGTATTGGTTTGGATGGTATTAGGAATGGTTTATCATCTATCTTTGTATTTATCTTTTGCTTTTCTACCCAGCCAGAATATGACCTCCCTGGGAGCACTGATCCCATGCCTGGTTCATAGAACTGGTACACAGTAGGTGCTCTGTAACATTTTGTTGACTTATTGAATGGTTTCTAATGTGCACTCAACACATTAATCCTTGGGCATGATAATATTTATTCTATCCGGTTCTGTGTTGATGGACATGTGTTAGCCTTTATTATTGCAATGAGCACTCTGTACCCATGTCACTCAGGACTTCTGTTGGAATATAGTTAATTCGTAAATGAATTGGTAAAAGAGAAGAAAATGTGACCTGCCTTTATTTTCATGAATATTGTGGCAGTTGTCCCATGTGACATAGGAAATAATCTTTCTCCATGAAGACAGTGAAGCCCTAATCTCCCACTAAGATAGCAAGGCCATTGAGCTGTCACTTAGACACTTGGCATTTCTTGTCTGTAAAATCCAGTGGGGAGCAGGCCGGGCGTCCAGGATGCCCCAGCTGACTGTGGTTGCTATCTACTCCCTGCTGCAGGGCTAGGAGCAGCACGAGGGGAGTGAGGCACCCATGCTTGGAATTCAGAGGCCCGGCCCCATGTCAGTCTGGGCACCAGTCCTTCCTTGAGTTTCCCATATGTGGCTTGTCTGACCTGGTCCCAGCCATGTCCCAAGTTCATGTCCTCACTGGGTGACCGCGGAGGTTGCTTCCATGTGGGGCCTGGCCTTGGGCTGGGTGAAGTCCAGCAGAAGTCACTTTTATGATAGCAGCAGTCAAATACATGGTGTTTTCTCTTCTGCACTGCAGGACACTGTAGCCTCAAGGCGCAGGTGACTGTCACAACTCACAGACTTCTTAATGGTTTTAATTACTTTAAGTGTGTAAATGGCCACACACAGCCAGTTTCTGCCCCACAGGACAGCACAGGAGAAGTCACACTCAGAACTTCGCTGCTTCCATCTCCCCGGCCCAGAGCTGGTCAGGCAGCTGCACCTGACACAGCCCCGTTGGACCCGGCACCCATCGAGAGACTTGAGTCTCCTCCCAGAGGCAACTCTGCACAAATGGTCACTTCACGGGCGGGGCTTCAACACATGGGTTGTGGGTGACAGCACCCGAGTCTCCAGACCCTGAAGCACCCAGCACAGGCCCCTGGGGCCCTCCGCAGCACACCTGCCCCTGGGTGACACTCAGCTCCTGCTCTGCTCCGCGCTGGCGTGGCACAGGGGAGGTGGGCTGAGGAGGAACTGCAAGAGTTGCTCAGGAAGGGACGCAGGGTTGAGAAGTTGTGTTGCCTCCCAGGGAAAGCTCGGGGTAGGGGGAGATAGAGAGCCCCCCCAGAATTGGCTCAAGAACGCAAAGGGCAGGTGCTCGTCATTTGTAAGAAGAAGTGGCATTCTTCAACGACAAAAACAGCTGAACACGGAGGAGGAGACGGCTTGGCCCGGGAGTGAGGGATCCCAGACCCAGTGGAGCACAGAGCACAGTGGCTCTGAGGAGTACCTTCCCCTGCCTCCTTCCCAGGGTCTTTGTAGTGGGAGGAATATGTGACCTTGAAAATCGTGGTCACAAGTGATGCAGAGAAACAGGTGTCTACTGACTTGGCTCCTTCCTTTTTTTTATTAATAAAATGCACCTGCTAATAATCACTTGTGGGAAATTTGGAAAACGCAGAAAGGGCGGAAGGGGAACACGAGTGATTTGCCAGCCCTTGTCTGTTGCCAGCTTCAGGTGGGATTTCAGGGTGGGAAGTTGGTCTGCTCAGCCAGGAAGCCGCGAGGCAGGCCTGCCCTCTGGTGGCCACCTGCGGGGCAGCCCCCTCCAGCCTTCCCAAAGGACTGGCGGAAACCAAAATGCAAGGGTCTTCCCACACGTTCACAGAAGATGGAACTGTTTAAGAGTCCGGGGACCAGCATTGTGCCTGGAAACAGTAGAGAGAGAGAGAGAGATGCAGGACCCACTGGGGGCGTGGGCATCTCCCCATGGCCGACTCAGGCCCGACTCAGGCCAAGTGTGTCAGCCCGGGGCCGGGATGGGAGACAAAGGCTCAGCATTTCAGTTATCGGAGCGCAGGCTGCCAAGTAGTGAATCTTCCAGAAGGACTCAGTTTGCTGTGGAGAACAGGACGCGGATGCCTCCACGGTGTCCTGATTCTGAAGTCCCGATGCGTGTCACTCTCAGCAGAGGGCGGTGTGCGGACGCTGGTCACGGCCGTGGGTTCACGGAGGAGGCTGCTCCAGGTGGGTGACTGTGGGGCGCCTCTGTTCTCAGATGGGCAGCAGCAGCTGACCTGGGGCCCCTCACTTTTACTTACCACCTTCACTGAAGTCCACTGTCAAAGCTGTACTCTGTTGGAAGTTCAACATCTGTTGTATACAATATAAATATATATATATATTTTTTCATTTAATTTGAAACTTAATTAGTTTTT